CATTGAAAACCAGAACTGGAGTGTACTGGACAGCCAGCTGTTTTATCTTAGTCTGGGAATTATTGGCAGTACGCACCCACCAGGCGGGGTTTTTGAACCCAGGACCTTCCGGTTACAAGGCAAGCTGGCTCGTATACCATTCAGCCACTGGGATCCGCTTCTTCAATGGCCAGCCCATGAATTCTAACTTCTACCGATTCGTGATTTAGCGCCGCCCCAACCAATGTCACCTCACTGGTCACGATTTCTCACTAGAACTCCAGGAAACTCCATCCTGTAGCAAGTCATTAGCGAGCATCAGATTATTTTTCTATAATTGCTTTGTAAGGATAAGATTTATTTTTACGACATTGGTTGGTGGTCGAACTAAATCACGAATTGGCAGAGGTTAGACTTCATTGGCTAGCCATCGAATCGGATCCCATTGGCTGAATGGTATACGAGCCAGCTTGCCTTGTAACCGGAAGGTCCTGGACTCGAACCCCAATGGGTGGGTACTGCAGATGATTCCCAAACTAGGATGAAACAGCTATCCAGTACTCCCTGTTGGCTTTTTGAATGGTTTTCTAACTGATATCAATGTGTGATCAACTCGTAAAAAAAAAGAAAGAAAAAGCTTGATCACAATAATTTCTAAAATTCTAGGTTCCACTATTATACGACTAGAGGTGAAGAAGGCCGAAACTTTTAAAACTTGATCTGGAACATAATCGTTTGGTATACACACCAATGAACGTTAAAAAATGCTGACTTTATCTCCTAACCCGAAGTTAGCATTATACTATCAGTCGGCAGTACGACAAGGAGATCGCCTTACAAAGAACTATACATTCTAAAAATGCTGCTGGCATTACAGCTTTTAGTAAACAATCCTATGAATTAGCTACACAAAGTAGTATCATTCAGAAATAATATTACATTGTATTTTTACTCAATTTTATACAAAGTATGCTAGTGAGAGCATTTATCTTCTCATTGGACTTTACACTCGAACTTTATAGAAGATTCTTCAAATATAGGCAGACATCATATTCTTAGGGGCAATGTGTTACGTATGCTAGCGTAGCCATCGCCTTCCTCGACTGCTGGGAAATGATATATGGTAAGGCTGGAAAAGAGCTAGTAGTGGTCAAACCAAAACATGACTTGGTCATAAGCCAATGAAATCCACAACAGTTAAAGCCAACCAGTCACGTAGGGAGGTGTAGACTTCCTGACTGGTTGGGGTCCTCTGGACGGTAAAAACCAATGAAGGCTGGATACAATCGGTGATATGGCTCAAAATCGTTCTCAATGGCTGGCGGAGTTAGATGCATCCACTCCTTGTGACTTATGATTTCCAATGAAACTATATTGTTCTTCGTTATTACTATTCCTTTGTCTCACACCTCTGCTTACTGTCTCTATTTGGGATTTCTTCTACTTTTCTTGCTTTGTGTGCTACATGGAGGGAGTGTGGCGACTTGAGCTGGTGCACTTCGGTGCAAAGTTCTATGTCGAAAACAGACAGACAGGGAGAATGGGCAGTAATAAAATAATAATAATTTTTCCTTCAAATTCCCAGTGGAACATAGGGCTTCAAGCTAGTGGCTTGAAGCTTCTGTAACAGTATTTATTTTTACAGGATGGGGTTGCTAGCCTAATGCCCAACCTTTCCTCTTTACCAGTGTCAATACTGGCTTAGTGAGGTAAAGGAGTGCGTCTTTGGCCGGGGATCGAACCCCGGACCATGTGCATGGTTGCGAGCTGTGGAATCGACGCAGTAATAAAATACAGACATTTAAGCACCTCTCAAAGTAGGCAACTGAAAACTTCAGGATGCACATCAAGAATGAAGGAAGTGTACATATAACCAATATATAACCAAAAGAGACAAAATGTATCAATAACTGCATTTATCTGGTGAGTCAGTTTAAACCTTGCGTGTTAGTGACTAATTATAATATCTAAGTAAGACTACAGAAAAAAAACTTCACTTGTCTTTCGTCGAGTTATGCCACTTACGAAATACACGGTATATTCAACTGTTCATGAGGCAGTTACCCGCACTGCTTTACACAATATAGTCATACAAACAAAGTAAGAGAACTGGGAAACCTCTAAGCATTTGAGTACGAGCATCTACCTGCGTAGCATTGTCCACGTCTGTCTGTCTGTCTGTTTTTGATATAGAACTTTCCACTGATGTGCAGCAGTTCAAGTCACCAAGCTTCATTGTCCACGTGTGGGGTAATCACCACTTGAACAATATAAGACACAGGTTCAGGTAAATTCTACAATTGATGTGATTACAATCTGTCTGTTTGTCTGTTTTCGAAAGAGAACTTTGCACAAATGTGCGGAAGTTCAAGTCGCCACATTCCGTGTAGCACGCGAAGCAAGAGAAGAAAGTACGAGAAAAGCATAATAGAAACAGTGAGCAGAGGTGTGAGACAAAGGAGGAGTAATAACGAAGAACAAAACAGTTTCATTGAGTATTATAAGTCACAAGGAGTGGATGCATCTGCGCCACTGAGAACGATTTTGAGCCATGTCACCAATTGTTTCCAACCATTGGTTTTTAGCGTCCCGAGGACCCCAGCCTGGAAGTCTACACCTTCCTACGTGGCTTAGACCAACTGTTGTGGATTTCATTGACTGATGAGGCCATGTTTTGGTTTGACTACCACTGCCTTTTTTCCAGCCTGACCCTACATCCGCTAACATTGCTCGTCGAGGAAGGCGATGATTAGGCATACATAACACATGTCCTAAACATCTCAGTCTTTGTACATTCACAACTTCGTCTATTGATTTCCCCTGTCTACCTAGAACTCGACGCCTAACCTCCATGTTGCTCACCTTATTATGCCACTTTACACGGGAAATAGAACGCAGGCACCTATGATCAAAGACAGCTAGCTACCATTTCCATGTCTTCCACTCTCAGTGGCCAGGTCTCACAACCATAAAGGAGGACGGAGCGGACTGATGAGCAGTACACCCGCCCTTTGGTCGATAGTCGAACATCTCGTCTACGCCAGAGTCGGCGTAAACTGGCAAATGCGAAACGAGCCCCCTGTATTCGTGCTGAGATTTCGTCAGAGATCAACCCGTTGGCGTTGGGGCTGATGGTACTTCCCAAATAAGTGAAGCGGTCAACGTGCTATACCACTTCACTTCCTATTTTTAAACTAGGCGTCGATGTAGTCCAGTCTTGTAACATCATCTTGCATTTGGCGGGAGCGAATCGCATGCCAAACATTCCTAGATTGCAGCTCAAGGTGTTTAGAAGACTCTGCATTTCGTCAGCGTCTTCGCCTAGAAGGACTATATCGTCTGCATATTCCAAGTCAACGAGATTATTCCCCGGTAGCAAGTCAATCCCTGAGTCGCTGAAGTCACCTAGGGTTAAGTCCATTAACACATCTATGATGAAGTTGAATAGAAAAGGGGATAATGCGCGTCCTTGACGGACACCACTGGTCGTCATCAGTTCAGATGACAGCTCGCCGTAAGCCCTCACCTGGCTGTATGAGTACGAGTAGAGTGAGTGCCTTAATCAGTGAAATATATTTTCTCGGCATTCCCTTTACAGCCAAGCATCTCCAGAGAACTTCTCGGTCTTCTTCTCTGCGATTACAAGAAGTATTTTTGCTTGGAATACTATCACAATTAAAAATTATCATTCTGTGTAAAGATAAGATAATCAATCAATAACAAAAAAGGATCAATCACTATGAATGAGAGAGAAATCTAAAGGGGGAAAACCTCTTCCACTTATCTAAACACTGCTGAGGGTGTTAAAGCCAGATAGAAGATTGGGAAAAAGCACGATAGACCTTCATTAATCTGCAGTGTCAGTGTGGAAATCTACTGCAATTCAACGAAAGAAAGAAGATCCGGATCTGCAATCTTATCCTACCTCAACCCCCCCCCGCCGGCTCAATCCATACATTTTCATTTATGATAGTTTCATTACATTGTTTCCTATACTTTCATCATGTATACTTTACCGAAGTGTCGCGATATGAATGCATTTTTGTGCAGCGTTTCACACTGGTGCCAGTCAGTCTTTATCTTCATCTCAAGATAACTTTATCCTACAGATACACATATTGATGATACTGTGTATACAAATTGCACTTTAGAGCTTTATGAGAAATTGACAGATTCTGAGTTAATTTACAAGTATTGATTTTGTAGGGATTTAGTTTGATTCGATGGGGGATTTCATCATGAAATGACATCAGTTAGAGAACCACTGGAAAACCAGCTAGGAGTAGTGGACAGCTGTTTCTCCAGTCCTAGTTTAAGACTCTTCACCCACCGGGGCTCGAACCCAGGACCTACTGGTTACAAAACAAGCTCGTAGACCATTGAGCCAGTGGGACCCGATTCAATAGCTGGCCCATGAATTCTAACTTCTGCCAATTCACGACATAGCGTGACTATTTCGCAATGACTTCTTCGATGAGTTACTGCCTCATCTTCAACCTGCTATACCCTACTGGTCGCGTTGTGTCGTGAATTGGCACAAGTTAGAATTCATGGGCGATTGGATCGGGTCCCAGTGACTCAATGGTCTAAGATTCTGAGTTAGTTGATATATTAGTTAGAGAAGCTTTCGGAATCAAGGAGCGTTGAGCAGTCAGTCCACAGCAATGACTATCAACAAAACTAGTATTATCAGAATTCGTGATAAGCGCGTCACCGTCGTCAATATAATACCGCAATATAATACGCCTATTGTCTAATATTATACACAACTACCATTACAGATTGACTCTATTAGTCATATCTTCTCAGAACGCTGAGAATCGGGGTGACCAATGGCTAGTAGTGGATTCACACTGAGCTAATAAGTTTTCTTTGGTTTAATAATTAAGGATTTTTAACTAAAAAAACCTCTATAATATAAAAGTCTACAGAGTAATAAAGACATCAAAATATAGATGTCTAAACACCGTCTAACGTACCAAAAAAAATGAAAAAATTAGCAAAATGATTCCACGACCTACCTCCTGTGGAACAGCTCCTTTAGGTTTATCTAAATTTCTATTTCGGAATGGAGCTGCTGCATCACGTGGATGCATATGCGCATGAATTGGACTGCTTGGATGATTTTTCAACTGTTGCGAGTGTAATGATGGTGGTGGTTGTAGACTGGATACCTGATTGTCCATTCCTAAATAAGACGATTGTGCTTGAGGAATGGTTGTTGTTGCTGTTGTTGTTGACATTACAGACGAGGAAAGCGGTAAAGATGTAGCACTACTACTGGATACAGATTGGAATTTGTTAGACATAGAAACTGCAGACAATGAAGGATCCATGGCGCTTGAACCTCCTCCACGTACTAAAGATGGATGCTGAGAGCCGGCAAGTAATGATGACAATTGTTTATCCTGAGAAGCTGCCAGCATAGCTGCTGAATACAAACTCGGTGGTGTATGATTAACATGTTCAGCTGCATCAGAGGATGTTGAAAGTATTGTATTATTGTAAACATTTGTAACTCCAGTAGTTTTATTCACTTCAGATGACTTACTTCGGATTGTAACAGGTGATGCAGAGTTCACTGAAGAATTTGAAATACACGAAGGCTGACAAACTGTGAGAAATTCTTCTCGATTATTAATCACAGATAAATCATCTTTGGGATGTGGAGTGGTGGTATACGCATGATTAGGCACCGGAGAGGTTGAATTTGTTACTGTCATTGAGGAGATAGGTGACAGTGAATTTACATCATCATTTGGTGTATTTTTATTATTGTGTGATTGCAACTGAGGATTTGTAGTATTAGAACGATCAGTAATTTTTTGACTGCTATCATTTTTCTGGTTACGCGAAGAATCGTCACCGACAACTTGTGAATCCAAAGCAGTAGGTTTCACTGTATTCGAATCAATCATATTATTTATAGTACAGTTTGCTGGCAAGATATGGCTGCTTGTATTCGACTTTCCAGACTTATTAGGCGTACCACCAGCGACAACTTGAGACATAAGAGCAGGAGCAGTTTGATTAGCTAAACTATTAGATTTATGCTTACCAGTTGAACCGCCTGTATTAGATTTCACAGGTGTACTAGTCGATGAAGCGGATACATGCGGTAATAAAGAAATCTTTTCATCGCTTTTAGCACGTTCCCGTGAGGAGGAAGCATTTGAGGAAGCTGATGATCCTGGATGATTAACTGAAGAGTCAGTATGATTGGAAGTACTTGTATGCGTTGATGCTGATGAACCAGCATCATCGTTGCCAACTCGAGAATTTACCAAGTTGGCAACAGGAGTAATTACACCATTTAAATCATGCTCTTGATTAACAGTGACAGTACCTGAAGCAGCAGCAGTTATTCCAGTGGAATCGCCTAACTCATCCAAGCATAAATCATCATAGATATTTTTAAAATCAAGCATAGATTGATTATCTCCACAATCGATTACATATTCAATTGACTCTTGAATTGATCTAACTTTTGTACAGTCTAATCGTTCATTATCTAGTAAACGCATGATAGCTTCAAGCTTTTCGACATGAAAGCAACACATTTCTAAACGTTGACGTTTTTCATCGATAGCCAGAGCTGTTTCTTTATCTATCCTTTTCTTTTTATTATTATTTGACAGGCTTTCAATTTCAAATTCATACTTTTCTGTTTGAGTATTTAATGAACTAATACACTGTTTTAACCATTCATCTAATTCTTCTTTCTCTTTTTGTAATGGGTCTTTTTTAGCTTCTGAAGATAACAAACCTTCTTTAGAATAGGCTTTAGTTTTTGTCTCTTTTTCGATAACTTTAAATCTTTCCATATCTTGTTCTATTTCTTTACGTGCTTCTAATAAAGGTCGCTTATCTTTAACTTCACTAGCTGTTATCCATGTTTTAATTTGATCTCTTAATCTTTGAAGTTTTTTAATTTCTTTTTTTAAATCACCTTCAAATTTCTCTTTTTGAGTTGGATTATTTGAACTTTCAAATTTATCTAATATCTCCTAAATTGATGAAATATGTTGAATACAAAGGAAAGGAAAGAAAAGAAAAGAGAAGAAATATGAAATGATAATTATTTAGGTTAATTAAAAATGTTATTGTCATAGATACCAGAACTAACTAATCACATTCATATTTCTGGAGAGAACAAAAATTAATGCAGCATGATATTTGTGAAATTTGTTAAGCGTAAATATCAATACATACATAATTAGCTGTATTTGATGATGACTTAAGACTTTTTCATACTGTCTTCATTTTTAATTAGAGTTGTTATTTTGAAGTGATAGCAACAACTGGTATTCATCAGAAATGCCTACTGTCCCCAGTTTTGTTTGGTTTCATTACAGATGTACTAACAGGATTTGTCCTAATTAACTTTCTACAGTTTGGTTTGTAAGGGTTAATTTTGTTTTTACGTGTTGATCACGGATTGATATTAGTTAGAGAACCATTGAAGACCAGCCACACGGAGTACTGGACAGCTGTTTCATACTGCCGTATTGCCGATGATCCCCAAACTAGGATAAAACAGCTGGCTGTTCAGTACTCGAGTGCTGCTTTTCAATGGTTCTCTAACTGATATCAATCCGTGATCAACTCGTAGAAACAAAACTAACTCTTACACATCAAACTATAGAAAATCAATTTGATGCTTGCTAGTGACTTCCTACAGGATGGAGTTTCCGGGAGTTTTAGTGGGAAGTCGTGACCACTGAGGTTTATCCAGATGTCACGTGTGAGAATGGATGTTCCATCGAGACATTGGTTGGGGTCGCGCTAAATAACGAATAAGTAGAAGTTAGAATTCATGGACTGGCCACTGGCTCGGGTCCCAGTGGCTGAATGGTATACGAGTTAGCTTGCCTTGTAACCGGAATGTCCTTGTTTCGACCCCTGGCAGTGGATGCGTACTGAAGATGATCCCCAAACTAGAATGAGATAGTTGTCCAGTACTCCAGTGCTTTTTTTCAATGGTTTTCTAACTGATATCAATCCGTGATCAACTCGTAAAAAATAATTTACTTTAGCGAATAAGTGATTGACTTGTTACTATGTGGTATAGTCTCGTCAACTGAGTGGAGTAGTGTCCTCCTAGGTGAAAACGATAACAAAATTCAATCCTCTGAACACCAAGTGTTTGGCGTGTGATTCACTCTAGGTAGATGTAAAATGACGCTGCAGGACTCAACAACGTCGACTACTGGCTTAAACATAAGTGGTGAAGGGGTCACGTGTGTGCATGTGACCAATTCACTTATTTGGGGAGTTGCATTAGCCTTAATGGACTGATGGCTGACGAGATTTAAGCACGGATACAAGAAGCTTGTGTGACATTTGCCAACTTACGCCATCTCTAGCGTACACGTGATATCCCACTATACAGCAAAGGATGCGTGCGATGCACAATAGTTCACCCTGTCCTCCTTCACATCTGAGAAAAGGCCATTGAAAGTGGAAATTATTTGCATTCTACTTTCACAGTTAGGTAGCGTAACATGATGAGTATTAATGAAGTTAGGCAAAGTGCTAAATGAAGAAGGCAAGCCAATCGATGAGGTTGTGAAGCTACATCAATTGAGATACCTAGAAAAGATGTTGCGCATCCTAAACCACTGCCATGCATGACAAGCAATAATACCTGACATATGATCAAGTTGAGAAACAGTCTCAGACAGTCAAATCAAAACCTCATATATATATCAGTTTATTAAGTCTCTGACAGCTAATTCGAACCATGTAAGGAGTTTTACGCTGCTTGGTTGGAATTCTGGGAATGCGGATTGTTGGTGATACAGCTCAAAACTGCGGATACATCCACTCTTCATAGCTTCCAATATCCACTATGTTCTCATGTTTCGCCATGTTACTGTCTGTCTGTCTGTCTGTTTTCAACATAGAACTTTGCATCGATGTGTAGCAGTTCAAGTTGCCACACTCCCTCCTTGTAGCAGAAGAAATGAATAACAGAGACAGTAAAACCGAGGTAAGAAACAAAGGAACAGTAATAACAAAGAACGATATAGTTTCATTGGAAATTATCAGTCACAAGGAGTGAATGCATCTGCGCCAGCCACTGATAACGTTTCTGAGCCATATCACCGATTGTCTCCAACCTGGATTGGTGTTTATCGTCCGGAGGAACCCAACCAGAAGGCCAGTCTACGCCTTCCTACGTGGCTTAAACTAACTGTTGTGGATTTCATTGACTGATGAGGCCATGTTTTGGTTTGACTACCACTGGCTTTTTTCCAACCTGAAGTCAGCCAACATTGCCCACTGTCGAGGAAGGCGATGATTAGGCATGTGTACGTAACACATGTCCTTACTATCTCAGTCGATGTAGCTTCACAATCTCGTCTATTGATTTCCCCTCCTTACCTAGCACTCGACGCCTAACCTCAATATTTCTCACCCTACTATATCACCACATGACATGGGAGAACGCAGGCACCTATGATCAAAGACAGCTAGCTAGCTGTCCTTTCATGTTTTCCCCTCTCAATGACCGGGCTTCACAGCCATAATGGTGGACGGAGCGGACTCCTGAGCAGTACACCCGCCCTTTGGTCGATAGCCAGCCGGATATCACGTCGACCAAGCCAGAGATGGCGTAAACTGGCATATGCGAAACAAGTCTTCTGTATCCGTACTGAGATTTCGTCAGAGATCAACCCGTTGGCACTGACTGATGCAACTTTCCAAATAAGTGAAACGGTCAACATGCTTTACTCTTTCTGCTTCACATTCCTTTAGAATCTCGTTTTTTCCTCTTATTTGTCTACCTTTGTGTACTATACGGAGTGTAACAACTTGAACTGCTGCATTTCCGTGCAAAGTTCTATATTGGAACTCAATCGATTAATTAAACTAGTTTATTGACAAATCAAGGTAAAAAATACTCAATTTTTAATTCTGAAAAACACAGTACTCCTGTGTTGTTTACTTATGTATTGAAATAATTATTTTTAAAGGAATTGTTAATTTACTGTGTAATATTTTATTAGTTACAAAGTTCTACAAAAATAGACTATCTTTAGTGGAAAGTCTACCTTTTTTTGATTGATTTTTAAATGTGATTCGTTAGAAATAACTAATCATTGAAAAAAAAATACAACTAAGAACATACTATTATTTGCCATATCCATAAAATGAAGACAAAAAATAATGATGACTGTGTACCTTGAAGTCGGAAAACATTGAATCACACAATAAGAACATAAGATGGGTAAAAACAATTCAACTTAACAACATTAGAGAGATGAACTAAGTGGATATGAACATCACAGGTCTAGTTGCAATGATAATTTTTAAACACAATGGAGTATACACTTGGAATGCAAGAGTATGTGAGTCAATTACCAAAAGCTGCCAATATCATCAACAGCATACTGACAGGAGAATGCACAATGTTAAATATATCATACATAATGGGGACAATTTAAAGGTTTGAGCATGCAGTTACTAGCCTATAGGTAATAACTGACTGACTGGTTTCAACGAAAACCTTTTCACAGATGTGCAGCAGTTCCAGCTGCCACACTCCATGTAGCACATAAAGCAAGCGAAGAGAGTAAAGAGAGATTCAAAAGACGGGTAATAAACAGAAGTATGAGGTAAAAAGAACAGTAATATGAAAGATGTATAGAATCTTATTGGATATGATAAATCACAATGAGTGAATGAATCTGAGCCAGCCATCGAGAACGAGGATTTCGAGCCATATCACCAAATGTCTCCAGCCCTCACTGGTTTTTGCTATCCCGAGGACCCCAACCAGTCAAAGAGTTTATAGCTGCCTATGTAGCTGTCTTAAATTAACTGTTGAGGATTTCATTGACTGGCTGATCACGCCATATTTTGGTTTGACCACTACTAACTCTTTTCCAACCTGATCAATCCTGTCAGCTAACACTGACCGACAGTCGAGGAAGGCGATGGCTAGGCGTGCGTAACACATATTCTAACAATCTCAATCAGGGTAACAATAAGTTAATGTCAGATACACTTGCCTTCAGTTGAATTGCCATTTAGCATTCATAAATCAGTTATTTTACAAGTTAATGAAGCGACTTCAATAGTGAATCGCACTACATTAAAAGAGTATCTACACCTTGATAAAAACAAAGCACCACAAAATCGATCTGCTGTTAAAAGTCAGGCACAAAAGCCTACATTACGACACACCATACGCGTGAGAATTATGAACGAAAGCGTAGATTTAGGTTTCCTCCAGACACTCATTTTTAAGTGATTGTATAATCAAGTTATGCTCTACAGCCCTGGCTTTCAACCCAAATGCATGCATGCAAACAGTATGATTACTTCTTACATAATACGTTTGACTCATTATCAGCTTCAATAACCTGCTCACTGTTGCTCAATTGCTCGAAGTAGAGTTTAAAAGGAACTTTTATTTACAGTAATACCAACACAGCATTTTCACTTGCATGATTGGGTAAAATGAATATAATTTATTCAGTAGATATCTGTTAGGGGGTTCAAATATAAGCGCGACTTGCATCATCAGATGCTACATTATGTGTGAAACTGATGAGACATAAAAACTGAGAGAATCCACCTTGACGTAACCATAGTAATAGAAAAATAACGGCAGTACAGATGACTAGTGTTAAGTTATCTAACTTTTATGCATTTAGCCGACAGTGACTTCACTCAACTTTGTAGTGAGCTGAGTTGATCACTCCAACTACGCAACACCAATCACTGTGATTGAAGCAACAAGTGTATTAGAAGTAAGGTTAGGCTCTAAAAGCATAATCAGAACCATTTACTGACATAACTTTGTTTTGCTGAAAACCGGAAATATCATTTGTGATAGAACTTCCAGTAAACACAAAACTTATGCAGCTCATCTTAATAACGTAAATCTAATTGTATGTAAAAACTAACACATCAGTATGTGCAGCCATACTTAATTATGAACATAAAAAGTCACCAAATTAGACAAGTGACTTAAATCTTGACCTATAGTCAGTCAGTCTGATGGTACCATGAAGAGTCAACTCATAATAAAAATAGACGATCAATTTGAAAAAGCATTCATTAGTAATAAGCACAACTAACACCCGTGGCTATAACATACCAGTATGAGAGAGCAGAAATTCCAGCCTTTTACTTCATACTACAAGGATTTAAATAAGAATTTTTAAACGGTACAAAATAAATCGCCCCTGGTTACTCGGGAGATAAGTAACACGTAAGTAACCATATTTATTCCTAAAATACTCACTCACATTAACTATCTCATTGCTATCCTACCGACCTTTTTCGTATGGTAGAATCTCCAACACACTTTTCAAACTGACCCAGATTTCTTGAAGGAGCACTGAAATCACCTGCCGAGAGACAATATCTTAGCACTGTGCTAGTCAGAACTGAACTAAAGTTTTCCGCAAAACTTATTCTTCACTTCAGCAGCTGGTGAGAAAACGAAGATCATAGAAAAGCCTGGATTGAAATAAAACGCTTTCCCTATCCTTAAAGACCTTGACATCTCAGGGACTGACTTACCAGGAAACGCAGCTAACAGCTATGCAGTTTCTGAACACCTTGAAAAAAACTTGGTTTACTCCTGTCAGTCACAAAATATAACGATATTACATGACTAGTTTACATCTACTCTAAATTCAAGGATAAAGAGAAAAAAGCTTTGGAAATTAAGGAACGCTGAGCAACTCTTTCAACCATATTTGACAATCTATAATATTGAGAATCGAAATGTTTAGTATCATCACACTACGCAGCAAGCACATTATCGTTCAATCTACCCACAACAAACTACGGCTTTTGTCTAGTGTCATCTACAACCACTATTATATGTGACTTCATTCACTATGCCAGTTATATCTTCCCAGAAAAACTTCAACAATCCATCTCGATCGGAGTATCTCGCATTATCTTATACTTTTACTATAATTATCCATGAAGCCAAATGACTAACAAATCGTGTTCTCTTTCTCTTTAACATGAAACTACCATTAAACTCGTTGAATATACTACATCATCTGGATACCTGTGGCAGATTAAACGCAGAGAAAATGAATTCTATCGAGTACTAAAGCTATATAATTAATAACTGGCGTCATTAATTGGAGTGCCGAAAGCACTCATTAATAGCATTTATACCGATAATTGCATCGCATAAATGAAAAGAGAACAAGGGTCTGCTAACCACAAATAACTTGAAAATTAGCATAACTTCTTCACACAGTACAAATTTTACATAGGAATGAAACTTAATTCCGGAACTGTGCATATAAATCTAACGAATAAACTACAGTAACCACGCAGATCTTCAGATTTTCCCTGATTTGTTGAGCATATGCAGTTAACCACATCAACGTAACCTCAAGTTATAAAATAATTGTGAAGTCTTAGGTAAATTCATATTCCGAGTACCGGGTTTGTGAGTAGCCGTGACACAGGCTACATATCACTACCCTTGCAATAAGCTCTGTCAACAGACAATATGGTCGCCAAAATGCCGCAATACTTTAGTGTTGAGACCTAATACATCTTTAAAGCTATTTTCAACTAACTCAATAGGACAAGAAGGGGCAAAGAATGGTCAAATAATATTTAAAATGGGCAGATTCTAGGCAATTGGTAGGAATGGTGATATGATAGATAAATCTTGGTTAAATAATAGGTAAGAAACCATTTTGACTGGGCAAATGTTAAGAATGGTTTGAGTGATAAAATATCGGTTAAATAATGGCCACAATGGTGATATTTCAATCTAAAGTTGGTCACAAAGGTACAATGGTAAAAACCTTGTCACATAACCAAAAATCGCCTATTATCTTACTACAGACAAGTCCATCACATGACCATTATTCACCTGTTTTTTAACATTTTCCTTCGAGTTGGCAAGTTTATAGAATAGCCGTGACTCTATCTAAGTGCAGTTTTTGCTCCTGTAATACGCTCTACTGATAAACAGTTCAAATGCCAAAAGATTGCACCACTTACGTTGAGAATATATATGCTAAGGTATTTTCAACCAAAAATAAGTCACAACCATACATTGCAAATTCGGTGAGTTATACTAAGAGAACTGATCTTTGCATAAAAAGGAACTGTACCTGGAAGGCTGTTCTTCCTTCCTGAACTCTTTTTAGATTTCTCTCTATATCGCTTTGCAACTTTCTTTTGTCCGCCATCCTTCCACAATGTATAAATCAGCCGCCTCATCGAGTAAGGACGGTTATAAGGGGGCTACAATATCCAATGCCTTTGTGACTGACTTGTACAAAACCTTAAGTTTTTTGTTGCTAATTTCTCGGTGGTGTAGAACGGTTTCAGATGTCTGGTGTTTTCTCATGCATTAGATTCAACCTACCGACTGCTACAGCAGTGTACTACAAGTAGCGAGCGCATGGATATCAGTTAACTTCATAAAAGGCATTATTTGACTCAGCAGTGTTGTTACTGTGATCTGTAGTCTGAATCTCTCCGGACACAGTGGAAATGAGGCTTTAGGAGGACAGTAATTAAAGAGAGGGGATCTGAGGTGAAAAATCATAAAAAGGGATTAGATAAATATCCGATACGACAATAAATGTACTGAAACACTAAAAGTTATGAAAGGAAGATGAAGTGACAGTGAAATATAAATGAAAAGGATGAGTGTCAAATGGTTGGGTGTAGCGTGACTAAGATCTTTTATAAATAGACAGCGGAAGCAGTTCTACTTTGCTCAGCAGTACGGCCATCTCGTGAAACTACTGGCTGGTAGGATAGTCGCAACTTTAGCTTGAGGTGAACTTCAAGACACCAGAAGTTGGGCCGCATCTGTGTTACTGCCTTATGGTGAAAAGCTCTCTGTGGGTTACTGGATATAACACTGTCATAGGTTTCAGATAGCAGGTCTTTATTTGACCGTTATCGATTGATCGCTGATCCTGGTGTGTCCAACGGTTTGTATGTTTAGTCTTAGTGATCACTTGTAATACAAGCGGCTTGTTTTCCCAATAAACGCTTTAGACACTGTACATTTCCAGCAGTAGTTGCGTGTCAACGTTTTAAACTTTAAGTTTGACCATGTGTGTGCCTTCACTAAGTGACTTTTCCATGCATATTACGTGTGGTTCACCATCGGGTCGAACTAACTTACCCCAAACTAGCTCTAATTCAGGACAGCACTGGATTGCCGATCGTTATTTTGGAGAATTTCAAGGTAAACATTCCAGTTGACAGAGTTTAACACTTGCCTCAAGTTTAAAAAAATAATATTTGAAATGGAACGTCTCGTTTCCAGCATGCTATCCTTCGGGTCAAACCACTGCGAGTTCGAAGAACATGAGATTTCCTTCGGAAAACGGTGATTGCCCCCCTGTGTTATTACTCTTTCTTGCTCTGAATCGAGAATAGGGCTTAGTAGCACATCTCTATTTCACTTTGTTCTCTTCAGTCTTTTTCAGCTGACTCCAAAGCTTCCTTTATGCTTTCCCTTCCCCCTCTGAGAATCTCCTCAATGTATACAACAGATGCTCGGCCCATTGGTTCCCATTCAGGTATCACTGGACGACCGGTCTGGTGCGTGAAACCCCTCAACGACTTCGTCAGCAAAATTTAAGTCCATCTCCATTACATTCCGTATACTTGTGTAGCACCAACTACGTCTTCCTCATATAACCTTGATGTCTTCTCTTCTTTTCAACCAAATCGTTGATTTTCGGGACAGTGGACTACTTGTAGGGGCGTGCACGTTTTGTCACCTATAGAGATTAGTTTGTATAAATTTTTGGCGAATACTTACTGTGTGTAGACCCTTGAAGGGTCGCTGGGGTGGTGTTGGTAGTCGGACAGACGATGACAAATCCTTGTTATGAACGCGCAAAACGTATGTGCGTTTCCTAACGCGGGCAGAAGGTTTGTACGTGGAAGGTTTGCTCAAGTGTAGGAAGTCGGCTGCTGAAGTCAGAAATGCAGTTCCTCCAAACTTGGGGAGTATATAACTAGGAGAGATGTTGAACTGAGAGGAAAGTTGGAGGGCACATACATGCAGCACACTGACTCTTTCGTGTTGTGCTACGAGTGGGAAGTGTGATTTCAGCTCTAAAGAGGTTACAAGCGATCGTAGCAGTTCGCGTGAAGGGTACGAATGGTCAGATATACACTATATACCTCAGATTACGGGAACAAATTATTATATTCATATTTTTCCAGAAGTGATACGCACTGACTACACTTTCAAAAGGAATAATCTTGTGTAACCTGACGAACGATGTATATTGTTTGAAGATTCAGGCTTTTTCAGATCCTTATGTATAATACGTAACGTTTGCTTCGGCAGAATGGAAATTGTCGGAAATTTCATAAGTTCTACGAATTTTCAGATCAATCATGAGATGTACGTTTGGCTAATCTTTTCACTTTAGGTCGTGAATGACACCAATTATACGATTATCAACTCCCTTTTCTTATATATGCAGTATGCCTACGATGAGAAACTGTTAAATACAGTAAGATTATTTCAGCTGGTATATATTTACAAATGTATTTCGGTAAAGTAGAATGTAGTCAAGGGAGTATCATCCCACAGTTTGCCCAGTGAATGCAGTACCGATGAAAAAATTCGAAGACTGAGCCGATTTTACTGTCGCCTGAGGCGACCTGATTCAGATTCTTCAGATATCATTATAATTAGACGTTGCAGTCACTATGATGTAGCTGCAGGAAATCTAAAACTGTAAAATATATCACACAGTTGGTGGCAACAGTGCTTCATGAGAACATATCCTATTTTATGCCTAATTATACAGAAATTAACTGGCTTTCATATTGTTGTAAATACATATATTTCCCAAGTGTTCATATATTAATGATTAATAATATATTCTCAGTTTATGCACATGAGGAATGCCAGCTTATAGGCATCAACAATATGATAAATAAAATATACATAGAGTAAGTACATTCATAATTTTCCCTAACAGAGGATGTTCATACAAGGGAAGGTAATGGAGTAACGTCAGCAAACACACTTCGCATGTGTAAAAGCATTTTACATAATATAATCCTGGGCACCACTATTGTTTGAATTCGTCGAAAACACGCGTAACAACTGAAGGCTGCGTTACATGTGGTCGACACGGCGAGCTATTCACAAAAGTATAAAGTGTGAGGGTATACGTTATAACGTGGTTATATTTTCCGCGACTCAGGTTTTTTCGTCTTTCATTGGCTAGAACGGTGGCGGTCAATTTGATATTTGATTTGTCCTTGGTAGGTCGTATCGTGTGAGGTTTTGTGTGGTTGTGTTATGCGCCGTTTGCAAGCAAATTTGACAAAGATAGATGTAATATTTGACTATTTTAACATTGTTTCACTGTTTTTTACACAGATACACTTCTCTTTTCGCTATGAACTCCCTGGAAACTGGTCAGGCATTATGGTTCCTATCAGTGACTACCATCCCGTGGGTGCCAATGCATTTCTTGAGTTGTGGTTATAGGAACAGTATTTCCTACTTCGTGATTTCTCACTCACATAGTCTGGTATCCTGTGTTTCTTGCGACTTAGCTGTCACAAGCTGTTGCAATAATGTGCTTTGTTAACGAGCCCTTTTTCTAGAATTTCATCGCAGGTAATCAGTGCGAGCGCAAGCAGCACATATGTAAGAAGTTACAAAAGCATTAGAAGACTTTCAAAAGGCGTGAACTTCATATATTGCTAACAGTGACGAACTTTTCCGCATACCAGTATGTGGATACGTTCACATGCGTATAGGAAATCCACGAGTGAGACATTGTATTTTAGTGGGACAGCTTTGTGAAACTTTCATCTAGCTTGTATGTTTCGCTCTAGTATTTTTGTCCCTCAGACCACTAACAAAGTATTATCAAATGTATTCTTGTAGTATGATTCGATGGCACAATTACTGGCAGTTAATAATATTATGTATGTGTTATGTTCATGATATTTTCTGCACCATTAACGTGCTCCACATTTCAAAAAGAGTGTAACTTAGAAAGACTATACTTAACTCAACTGTGGTCATGCATGTTAATTATTTAAATGCTTAATTTATTCAAGTGAATTTAATCTGTATCACCTTTAGAAATGATAAGTCGCAATGAGGTCTGCCAGTTAATTAAATTCAGTGGAAGCAGATGTAGCTGCATTCGTACAAAGATATCCGAAAAACAGTGATGAGCGTCTTACGACTTATAACCAGATACATTTACATAATCAGTATTAGGAATTGATTCTACATGCAACAACAAGTGAAGGTAAGTTCACTCATTCATGTATAACCATGCAGATATTCTGTTTTGCAGTTTGTGATACCGGATAGCTTTGGATGTGGGGATAGAGTTCTGTTTACTTGAATTTTGGAAAAATTCAAAGGTGACGCACTTCGGACACTGGGCAGTTTCCGTCGAATAATAGGAGATACTTTGCAAACGAAGACTTTCATCTTTGACTGTGCTCAGATAATACATGTAAATAAACTTGTTTGCGTGGCAGTAAAATAAAATTTTCTATCTAATATTCTTGTGTTGTATTTGTTCTGCATGCGGTGGGAATACGGCATGGTAGACCGGTACTCCCTAGGATATGAACTCGTTACTGTATATAGGTGTAATTCTGTAGGAACACTATCGATCGATATAAGTAGTGAATTATAAGTACTGCAGTCAAGCCCAAAAATCTGCCTACGCGATTACGTCTCCTAGTCATAGGTAAGTCTGTAGGGACCAAGTACAAAAATACTTCAGTATTTGAAAAATAAGAAATGAACTTAGGCACTGCAATTGAGTCGATTTCTTAAAAGGTAAAGTGTATTCAAGTGTAGTTCATTACCATTATTTCACTTAAAGCGTGATGTCGATTCATATGATTATGGGTGTTAACTTACAGTGTAAGGTGAAGTGTACACGAGACGAATAATTGAATAGGTTGAGCTGTAGCAATCGTAGTCACACTTACATTACACTAAAATATGCCACCAATTACTTCGTCAGGTCTCATTGATAA